GTTTTGTACAGTGCACCTGCTCAGTCTGATAGTTATTTACACCGACTGAACCCAGTTCTACCGTGTACCTGTTCAGTCAGGTATCTATTTAGGCCACTGATGCCCCGATTACCAAGTACCTGTTCAGTCTTTTACTTATTGAGACCGACAGAACTCAGCTGTACCATGTACCTGTTCAGTCCGATATCTATTTAGACCGGCTGACCCCCCGTTTGCCATATACCTGTTCAGTCTGATATATATTTACACCGACTGAACCCAGCTGCACCATGTACCTGTTCAGTCTGGTATCTATTTAGACCGGCTGGTCCCCGTTTACCATATACCTGTTCAGTCTGATATATATTTACACCGACTAAACCCAGCTGCACCATGTACCTGTTCAGTCTGGTATCTATTTAGACCGGCTGGTCCCCGTTTACCATATACCTGTTCAGTCTTTTATTTATTGAGACCGACTAAACCCAGCTGCACCATGTACCTGTTCAGTCAGGTATCTATTTAGACCGACTGAACCCCAGTGCACCGTGTGCCTGTATAATCTATTACCTGTAGAGAATAACAAAGCTCCATTGTACGGCGGAGCTGTATAATCTGTTGCCTATATAGACCTACTGACCTTCATTGTCCTATTAATCTCTGTATTATCGACTGAATGGGCAGGTGCAACAGGACGACGAAAGATCGGCCTAGTTCCACGACCAGGCTAAAGACTACCTCGACATCGACCACACCGTGCCTCGGTATGTTAACACTAGCAAGATTCCCACTTCTCTAAGCGAGCTTAGCACAGTAAATTGCCGTTAGATACAAGGCCCTATGACGAGATATAACAGGCCGAGAGAGCTTCACTATCGAGTTATGCGTCTATTTTCGTATGTGTTTTGTTTGCTTTCATCTCCATCCAAGACGACCCTATCAGCTGCAAGAAACAGTCATTCAATACTAGCGCCGTGTGTATGTCGCGAGATGTCGCAAAATCTCTCGAGATTGCGATGAATGAAACAGACACCATAATACAATTGAAGAAACTCATGAAGACATTGGAAACCCCAAAATAACACTCCACGTGTCCTTCATAATATCTTCATATGAATATATTATAGGAATCATTCAGCGATATTTGTGTAAGGTCCTTGTTTGCAGAGGTTCCACACGAACTAATGGAAGGGCTGTCGTCTGCCACTTGCCCATCACGTTCTGTTCTCACCCCTGTCAAGTGAATCCCCGCGGGTCAAGCTCCCTCCACGCTGTCGTACACGAGGCTGTCAGACGTTCCGGCAGTTGATGTCTAGCAGGAGGAAGAAGGATGAATCCTCCTGACAGCATACGTGCCCTGATGTCATCCATCTCAGAGCCTTCCGGGATTTTATTTTTTCGATCTGTCAAAGCATACACTCAACACATAGACGGATCCAAGTCGTCTTAAGATGTTCAAGTCGCATATGTCAAACCTGTGGCGTACTGTCACGATATAGTTACCGCATAACATTGAAGGTGTTATATATGTGTTATTAGTTTTGTATTTCTGTTTAATTGACTCTGTGGGATACATGGAACTGTCTCCGACATCCTCGTCACCACGTATCTGGTCCGACGTTTTCTGGCGCTGTCAGCAGATCCAGGAGACCCTGTATCGATCTGCTGTTTTAGTTTGAGTTAATGTTAGTGTTTCTCTACCACGTGGTCGTGTTACGAGCTCCCCATCTGTCCCGTCAATGCTGTGATACTCAAGATATAGATCCTTCAGACACGATCGAAAACCATCTTCATCTCATATAAACCCCATGGGTGCTCACGACAAGTCTCCAGTACATCGTACTGTCGCAGTGTTAATGGAAGTGTTAATGCTTATTTTTCATGTTTGGTATATACTTGTCATTTTCAAAGTCTCGAGGGGACAATCATAACATTGTACGTTATCAGGTTAGACGCGTTACACTTTCATAATGATGAGAGTAGAGAAATGTGTGCATAATTAATTACATGGATGAGTGATTGAATTTAGTTTTACGCCGCTTTTAGCAATATCCCAGCAATATCACGACGGGAGACACCGGAAATGAGCTTCACACAGTGCACCCATGTGGGGAATCGAACCCGGGTCTTCGGCGTGACGAGCGAACGATTTAACCACTATGACCCGCATACATGTTTTGTCGCTGTACAAAGAGCGAAAGCTGAATATGTACATTGTATCATTTGGTATATTTATAACTGCAACACCTGAATTTGAATTTCTTATTTGGAGGCAAGTGTCAGCTGTGTGTTGATTCAAGAACTCCGTGTAATCCCCATGTTATGGTTCTTGGGGTGACGGGAGCGGATTATCTCCCTTTGGCACGCATTAACCCTATGGTCGTGGGTTCGATTACCAAAATGGCTATAATTGTGGTTCTTGATTTGTCAGTAAAATACCCTCGAGTACACCACAGAGGTAACGTCTAACACTGCATTAAGTCTGTTTTACCTCCTTCATTAAGTTGGTATTGACAGGCTGACTCCCACTCCTATGGATCAGGACGGTGGGGTAGCCTAGTGGTTACAGCGTTCGCTCGTCACGCCGAAGACCCGGGTTCGAATCCCCACATGGGTACACTGTGTGAAGCCCATTTCTGGTGTCCCCCGCCGTGATGTTGCTGGAATATTGCTAAGAGCGGCGTAAAACCAAACTCAGTCAGTCCTATGGATCACTCCTGGGTGTGAAATATACACGATGGCTGACGGCTCTTGATTTTACCCACGTAACAATTTCAAGAACTTGCTGTGTCTGGGCTTTTCAACACCGCATTCTGCTATCTTGTGGGCAAGGCTTCCAACATACACAAACGACGGTCTTGGGTAAAAGTTACGCAATGCATAGTTCTGAAGGTCCTGTCTCTTCTTAGGGTTACGCGACGCACAATTCCAAGGGTTCGGCGTCAGAGACTAAGTATTATCAACAGATCCTTCAATACAAAATTGCTATAGCAAAATAGTTCCGGTGGCTTTCCAGTAATCTTGCGCGTTTGAGGAAACAATTACAGTTACTTTCAAAGAAAATCGAATTTTCTCACCACACTAATCAGATGAATCAATATTGTCTGCGATCAGAGGAGTTTATTGGCGACGAGGGAAATGGGAAAGCCCCTTTGGTGGTGTAAAGCCCTAACAAAATAAAGAGAATATACGAGACTGCCTAGTCCAGTCTTATCTCGTCACGACAGGACGTCTACTGACAGACCCTGTAATGAAAAAGGACTTTTTGCTGATCCACCATGGATACACTTTAGGCCGAGTGTCTAGCAGACGTTGTGAAAATATTGCCTTCATGTTGTATCTGTTGAACTCGTGGGACAGACGACCACTGACTCGTGATTTCGTACATACCTACTTTACGCTGGAAAGTGTAACCATGGCAACTGTGACAACGATCTAACAAGAGATCAGAGATGAACTTCGGTAGTTCCATTTGACCTCCGAGGTTAATAAACAATATTGAACTGTAGGATATGCGAATGGGTTGATCATATATCAAACGAGATCACAGCTAAGTGACCACCCACAGACTAACTACCAAAGAGCTACAGGAATATATGGGCATCCTAACTGTAGTAAAGATCACAGGCTAAATAACTAAACTACGAGGCACAGGACAGGTTGTGTTTCTGACTTTAGTTCAGATGACGGACTAATTAGCTCAGTCTTCACGGTAGAAAGGTCGGCTGACCTCCTAACCATAGATTTACACACATGAACTAAGGACAAAATAAAAGGGCTGACCTCATATCATAAACGTGATCACAGTGTAATGTCATTGACGTTCTGAAGGACTTCGAGAATGGATAACCTCTGAGGTATTACAGGATCACAGGCTAGTTAAACAACTGGGGAATAGAAAAAGGGGTTGACCATTATTTAAATAAGTAACCAAGAGTTATACATTTGTCCGATCTTCTAACCAGAAGCGTGACCAGCTGCACAAAGGCTACTGATCTGTTCACAGGCGAGGGGGCGACTGACCTGACCTACTTACCATAGTGCCGTTATATACATCTAGCATTTACACTGCATCACGGAATACACATTAAACAATATTAAAGGTCATCTAACTCGGATATTGGAGAACATTACCGGAACTATTTAGCTTTGTGACAAACAAATATTGTATAGCTACACACAAGCTATAGACCCTTGGACAATAACATTATCGAGTTGCACTCCATAACTTATTCAATACAGAATATTTGAGACGGCATCATCGCATGCACCACGCCAGTTTCACAGGCCAAATTTGATCCCGGACTTGCTAGATTGGATCATACAAGTATATAATTCATGGCTTCTTTTTGGGATGGTGTGTTAACGGAAGCATTTGGCTGGACAAGACGTGTATATAGCATTCAAGCGCAAGGCAAACGTAATATTGGAGTATATAGGTTACGGGGAGTGGTATATCGTTTGATAGCGATACCTATACGGTTTTACGGCATGGGTTTGGCATCAAATATTTCTCATGAAAGTCGACGACGATTGTCCATCGGGTGATTGGGTTCTGTGACCCGGTTGACATTGTCTTTGCACCTCGTTACTTGGATTGTATGTTGTTTAACGCCGCACTCCGCAATATTACAATATTACGGTCTGTAAATAATAGAGTCTGAATCAGGCAATCCAGTGATCAACAGCATGAGCATCGATCTACGCAATTCGGACACATGTGTCAACCAAGTCAGCTAGCCTGACCACCCGATCCCGTAATTGGCCTCTTACAAGCATGGGTTTCTGGAGACCAATCTTAACTCGGAAGTACCTCGTTACTGGTTTGAATAGTCCACACTCAGCTACATCAGACCACAAAGATAGAGCTGGTATGCTCCTGGCAATGGCGTAAAACAGCATTCACTCAGTTCCCTGAAACACGTATTTCACCTTTAGATTAACAACTTTACCGTCTTTTTCATCTTTAACCCCATTTCTCAAACTAAATTTTCGTAAAATAAATTAACGACAGACACATATTTACAAATAATAAATAAAGGATAATTTATTCATAATAGTGTGTATAAAATATACAAAAATTACAAAGATATATGCTGCATATATGAAGCCGACCGAGGAAACAGTGATCACGGGAGTCACAACATGGGTCATGTAACAGCGGCAAAGGTAACAGTGGAAATGTCAGCGTTAACATCAACAGCTGGAAACAGCAACAATCATGAGTAGAAATGACATCAGTTCCTAGCCACAAACAGAAACTTAACATACAGGCAACGCACTTCGCAGGCAGGTAGTGGTTAACTCTGTCTGGCCAAGACATAGGTCTTGTGATGACTAATCTTATCTAACGAACAGTTCCCGGTTTTGAGATCACCATGGTAACTGGAGAAGTGAATTAAACCCCGTTAATCCGGTAACCTTAGGATGGTAACTGTTAGACGATATATACATACCATATATATATATATATACAGATGGTTATGTATTAAAGTCCCTTCACATACAGACACACACACCTATGTGCCTATATAGACAGGCTATTTGTATGGCTGTGTTTGTGTGTGTCTACATAAAGGAACTTTCATCCATAGCTATCATTATCTACCCTGTGTATAACGACAATTTCACCTGAAACAGTCCGGTTTAACAGGGCTCACTGCATGACTGTTTACACATATGTATAGTGAATCCAATCACTGTGTTTATTCACTGAGTCGTTATGCACTCTGTTGCTATTCAGATTATTAGCGACAGCACTAAGTGCTTGGTGCTGTTCAGCGGTTGCTAGTTTACAACTCAGCAACCATTGCCTCAACAAAGATTTAACATGTTCACTTCAAACTGATTGCGAAATTATCTTCAGTTGGTGATTGACTACATGTGTAGATCACGTTTCGAGTGAACTACGTTTGCATTGTCGAGTTCTACACACTTTAAGTTGAGAACGACTTGCAACATTTAGTGACCCTTGCGAAAGACTTGACAATTTCATATACTCATCTCCCTTTGTGATGGAGCAGCTTCAGTTTGTTCACATTGTGAAGGTTTTGCTGGAGGTCGTGAAGTGACAGACCTGCCAGTTCTAGAGATCAATAATTAATTTCACCTTGTGAAATTACTGTTATAAGTTCGCTTTGTGAAATATAGCCTCCCTTGGGCTTGGGTTAGTGAATACCTTGTGAGATACAAAGATAATCAAAAGTCAACAAAACACGCTAAAATGATCAGTGATTATGAGAAGATAATTAAACGTCAATGTAATGACCTTCACCTCGGAAAAGAGAAGCGGTAGATTCTGGATGACCCTGTGAGGAGATCTAGATGACACAAATACAACATTGGATCAAACATACACAGAAACACCAATACATCCCCAACAAACTAGGGAACATCAAATGACCTATACTTTACATTCTACGTGTCTACCGTTGTGCACACATTGTCTACATTCGTTGCTTGGTCCAACACTTAGTACCTCTACTCGTTGAGCAGTAATCTGTCTCGTCCTTGTGCTGAGTTATAATGCATCTTGTAGTTTTGACAGCTGTTGAGAGGATATGGATACAGCCAACTCTGCTTGTAACGAAATCGCATAAGACGAACAGTCAGATAAAACAAACCATTCTGAAAGATGTTACATACAGAGGCGCCTGTATAGGCATATGCATATGAGTGGCATAGTTTCGTGGAAACATTGACGTCAGTTGAGACGTCCAGTAATACACCAAAAGTTTGACAAACATGAACACATACTTTGCGAATTCCTAGACAAAAGACAAATGAGTCGAGTCTGATGTTCCAAAGAACACATAGTTTGTGAAATTTTTTGACAAAAATTAACAAAGAAATGATGTTTCTATGAGCACATACATGGCGACTACTTAGATAAAAGCAAATGAGTCTATTACCATGAAACAAATAGTTTACGAATTCTCAGACAGAAATTAACAAATGTCTGATGTTTCCATGTTTTGACGCAGTTTATGACCACGTCTGTTGTGATGGTTTCTGACACCATAGGGTCATGTTGGGCAACTGTGCTGGTTAGTATATGACCACGGCTGTTATGAAGGTGTCTGACACCATGGGGTCATGTTGACCAACGGTACTGGTCGGGATATGGCCACGGCTGTTGTCATGGTTTCTGGCACCATGGGGTCATGTTGACCAACGGTCCTGGTCAGGATATGACCACTGCTGTTGTGATGGTGTCTGACACCATAGGGTCATGTTGGCCAACTGTGCTGGTCAGGATATGACCACGGCTGCTGTCATGGTGTCTGACACCATGGGGTCATGTTGACCAAGGATGTTAGCACATGTTGAGACAGACATGGATGTTCTACTGTATATGGGTACATGAACAAACAGCAAATCCTGAAGTCCGAGCTGTTTAAATCATCATACATCCAAAAGGGCACTACAGAAATATTATTATTTGTTAGTTTGGAGTGAGTATGGTTTTACGCCTTTTCAGCAATTTTCCAGCAATATCATGGCGGGGGACACCATAAATGGGCTTCACACATTGTACCCACGTGACGAATCGAACCCGCATCTTCGGCGTGACGAGCGAACGCTTTAACCACTAGGCTACCCCACCGCCCCTGTTAGTCTGGAACCTCGCTAATCCGGACAATATTATTTGAAAAGATTCTGTCTGTATTCATAGATTTCAGAGAACGGTTCAGATGTAAAGATTTCATCCGTACCAAACACAAGATCAAAGAATAGATTACAAATTGCCACATTATTTTGGTATTCAGGGCATTAATTTTAGATGTGTCATTTCAACATATGTGTAGCAGAGCGTACTGAATACAGCCTCCAGCCTGTTACACGATAATAAATTATATTAATATTTTTATCAGCTTTGAACAGGTGACAGGATATGAATCCGCTACAAGGCCGATGTAACAATAGCCTGACGTCAATGAAGGTAACATTCTACATAGACTATGTACCACACAATGAATCACGTGCTGGCAGGTGATCACAGGAAGACCCAGTCCAGTGCATCTGCAAAGCTATGAGTAATACAATTTGCTGAACAGGCAACACCTGCTGAACAGTTCTATATAGAATCATGTGTGTAATACGTGCTCTACTGGGTGACTGGCATCTCACACCTACATAACCATTCTATCTGCACAATAAAGATTGACGGTATTCTATGTACATGGAATATAATACTTTCTAGTTTCAATCACATGTAATTACACTTGCAGAATTTGGCACATATATGTCTGCTAACTACAGTGGAAGCAAGAGGTGTCATAAAGAAAGCCGTGTGATGTAGCAATAAGGCGATAAGGCGTGGTACCTAGATGCATGCTAAATAACACCGATATCGACAAAATAGTAATATTGTTCGCGGTAATCATAAGTCTATACTATGAAATTGTTCAAAGTTAATAAGACGTAACTATCCTGACCATGAGCGATTCTTCTAACTAAACTTCAGCATTATAGACAGCATATCAACTGATCCTATTTAGAGCACTACGTGTATACAAGCGTGTTATACGTTCTTGGAGTGCATATCGGTATAATGGAAGAATCTGTAACATTTCTAACGATATTTGGAAACGTCGTAAAGGTTACCAACAACTTGACATCAATCGCTCTTCCCGTCCGTTCACATCCTCCTCTTCCTTTTCCTTCTTTCCTTTCTCATATTCTCGCCTTTTCCCCTTCCCTAAACTCCCTCACTCCATCCGTCCCAACCCTCTCTAATTCCTTTCCCACCGTCTCCCATTTCGTTCACACTATTTTCCTTCCAATCAAACCCTCCCTCCGACCGTTCCCATATTCTCTCCTTCAATTCGACGTTTACCCCTTTCTTTCCCGCATTATCTCTACATCGTTTCTCCTTCTCTCCCTCTTCCAGATATGTTCATATGGTATAATGTTTAACGACAAGTATCGACTATGGTATGTGCACCTAGCCATGTATATGTTCTGATGATATGATCACAATATATGATCAGTGATACACCCTGGTCATATCATCAGGGTATAATCAAGGACATACCCTGATGTCAGGATGAAAATGTCCTTTTACGAATACACTCTGATGGTCAGGTCAGAATGTCCTAATGAATGATTCACTCTCATAATATTATCAGAATGTTATAGCTAGGACATACTCTGATGATACCACTAGAATGTCCTAATGAATGATTCACTCTCATAATATCATCAGAATGTTATAGTAAAGGACATATTCTGACATCATCAGAATGGATTCCCTCATCAGAATGTCATAATAAAGGATGTGCTCTGATGAAATGATAAGGTTGTCTTTATCAAGGATACACTCTGATATCATCACATTATCCTAATCAAGGATTCACACTGATATCACCCGAACGCCCTGATCAAGGAATCACTCTGATAATATCATCACAAAGTCCTAATCAAGGATTCACTCTGGTAAAATCATCAAAATGTCCTTGTCAAGGATTCACTCTGGTAACATCATCACAACGTCCTGATCAAGGAATTGACTCTGATAATATTATCACAACGTCCTAATCAAGAATCACTCTGATAATATCATCACAACGTCCTATTCACTCTGATCAAGGATTCACTCTGATAATAATATCATCAATGTCCTGATCATAATATCAACGTCCTTCACTCTGATAATATCATCTGAATGTCCTGATCAATGATTCACTCTGATAATATTCCTATCATTCACAACGTCCTAATCAAGGTAATTCACTCTGATAATATCATCACAACGTCCTGATCAAGGATTCACTCTGATAATATCATCACAATCGTCCTAATCACTCTGAACGAATCAACATTCACTCTGATAATATCATCTGAATGTACTGATCAAGGATTCACTCTGATAATATCATCACAACGTCCTGATCAAGGATTCACTCTGATAATATCATCACAACGTCCTGATCAAGGATTCACTCTGATAATATCATCACAACGTCCTAATCAAGGATTCACTCTGATAATATCATCACAACGTCCTGATCAAGGATTCACTCTGATAATATCATCACAACGTCCTGATCAAGATCATATCATCACAACGTCCTAATCAAGGATTCACTCTGATAATATCATCACAACGTCCTAATCAAGGATTCACTCTGATAATATCATCTGAATGTCCTGATCAAGGATGTGTCATGCTTAACGACATGTAAGGTATGATCAGGTTATTCATGTCAATGATATTCTGTGATAGCATGACGTTCAAGGTTAATGTTGTGCTGAATGACTCTCGTCAACGGAAGATAGCTTGATATAGCCATAGGCACGATTTGAGCAGGGTGAATTCAAATGAACAGGCATGATAGGAATTGTTTAACAAATGAGTATTAATAAAATATACAAACACCACAAAAGATATCAACAGATATATATATAAAAATAATTATGCAATTCAAAACTGTGGCAACTGAAACAAACGCCACGACATTTTGCACAAAAATAGAACGAGTGAGCAGAAACGTATATAAGCAGAATATGACTGATCCCACAGCGGGTCAGTCAGAATATGACTGATCCCACAGCGGGTCAGTCAGAATATGACTGATCCCACAGCGTCAGGCGTCACACAGAACACAAGCACCTCAGCTACCTCATCGGGTGCTGTTGGTGGCATCCCTCCTCAGAAAAACACACTGGTGACGTCAGACATAGCACATTGAGTAGCACGAATATGGGGTACGTGGTGTCATTTCCCAATTCACGATCCGACTGATAGCCCATCATCATCATAATCATTATCAGAACAATGTGGTCTGCATTGTTCGCTCATCAGTTTCTATGTTTATATATCGTTACCAATTTTCCAACTTGCAGTAACTTCCTGATATGCATAACGGCCAAAATTCATTCCTATTTAATTGGTCTTTCCCAGTTTGGCTTGACGTTGTCTGTTTGGCAGTTGATGTTAACCATAGTCCTATTTGGTCCAAGATGTGTGTGGATATCTGTATATATAGTGCATTCTCCATCACCTACATCGTGGTAGAATCACATGGGTTAGCTTGTGTTGCAGTGTTGCGCACATTTTACATATCCCGCACGTCCATGACGTGGAAGATGTCGTTGTCACCAGCGTTAATCCGTCACAAAAGACTAAGTGTTTGAGCACAGCTGTATATCTGAGCTTGCAGATCACAAACCAATACACAGGCTCCAGCTGTTTGATCCATTTGCATAATGTGTCCATTTACCGTGCAACACTGAAACAAAACAAACATGGATGAATTATATGTCAGTGGTTGTTGTTTGAGGAAAACCTAGAGAACATGATTAACATGCCGAATATATATTGCATATTGTTGGTTCCTGTTCGTGAGTATCCACTCAAATAAAACTTATTCTATGCATATAAATAAGGACCATTCAAGTTTATAGGCTATTACACAGCCTATAGTCAGTCATAATGTAACATATCCCATGAATATATATAGAGCCACTTATGTTTATAAGCTATTACACAGCCTATTGTTTAATTACATTTCAAACTTCTGAACCCACGTCACATCAAAGCGATATATGAAGGCCTGTTGTTGTATGCCGTATCAGCACTACCCGTGGGGATCCAGGTTAGAATTGATCTTCAGTAACCGTTGCTTTTCGTAAGAGGCGACTTACGGGATCGGGATGTCAGGCTCACTGACTTGGTTGACAGATGTCATCGTATCCAAAATTGCGCAGATCGATGCTCATGCTGTTGATCACTGGATTGTCTGGTCAAGACTCGATTATTTACAGACCACCACCATGTAGCTGGAATATTGCTGAGTGCGGCGTAAAACTAAACGTCACTCACTCTAGGTATCAACACTGGCAACAGTAACTGTGACATATTGCTGTCTGTCGTGTTCTGACTTGTGAGGCCGGCATAATTCCTCGTTTTCGAATTCCTTGAATATTTTGAATGAACAGCTGTTCAGTCACTCTGGAGACTTGAAATCTTTCGAAATTGAAATTTCAACAATTCAAAAACATCAATCTCTGTTTGCTTTACACGAGTAAAATGAAATGTTTTTGTTCCCCATCAGAGCATTATGAGAGTGCGAGAAAATTGCAAGGTGACCTTTCTATGCCCCCCTTATTCATAAAACCAAGAGAAGATCCGGTTGGAAGTGGTCTTAAGCATGCTTGTCGTATTTGATTGCTAACTAGATCGATCAAATCAATCAATCAATGATTGATTGACTGATAAACCAAAGCTCAATTATTTACAGACCACAGTCATTAGCTGGAAGATAACCCAGTGGGACGTTAAACAACAAACATGAAACATGGTTTTTCCTTGTCAAATCTTTTTTATTTTTAAGGCAGTTTGATGGAAGGTAGATAGATCGGTCACACCAAATAGTCTACATTATCGAAATAATAATCATTTTGTCAGTGGATTACAAGTAGTATTATCATTTACGTCACCTCTTTACTCAGAAGACGCATACTCACCCATTCCAGGACCACGCCCTCAATGGTTGTCCCTACAACAAGAACGTGGTGTAGTACGCAAACCATATTGCAATCATTCAGCCCTCTTCACCAAATGACGCTCTTAGATTTAAGCTAGATATATTAAAAAACGTTTTAATGTTTTCAGTTTTTCAATTGGAATTTAAGTTAGCTGGACCCCCTTTGAGATATGAAAGCGTGACATAAAGGTTTTCCTCTTGTAAACACACGGCAATATGATCTGGCTTTCTAAAGTTTGTTTAAGAGTCAGAATTCTCGGTATCCCATTGCGTTAAGTATCTTGATAATGGTTTGAAGATTTTCAGCTGGAGTAATCACGTCTCCAGCTTTAGTCGATTCATTTCCTTCTTTGTACCTAGATTTGATTGTGAGAAAAATGTTCAAATTACACCGCGACTCTTTCTCGCAAAACATATCCTATTTGCACATAGATTGGATTGTGAAGGAATGTCCTCTTACACCCAGGAACGAGTATGGCGCTTACAAACGGCAAAACCATAATGAGAGCGAATCTGGAATTAGAATCCACTCAAATTGCGGCGCCTTGGTAACCCGTGCCCCAGATAACGTCAGAGGCGTGTTGAGGAGAGCTACTGGACTAACGCTTAGTAACCCTGAATATATATATAATATCGATAGCAACAAATAAATCCATTTAAATTGAAAAGGAGCCCTAGTGAGTTGGGACCTGAACCTGAGGAAATCTAGACTTGCTTCGTTTAGTGATTTAGCATAGCAGGGATGGCAAGGTGGAAGGGAAAATATTGTGGTTCAGGGACTGTGAGACAGACTAGAGGGGTACATGCTGACAATGTCTACCTACCAGTCCATATCCACCGCAAACCGCTTTTGTCGAACCACTGTTGATCCAGATGCATTGTTAGCTGGAACAAACAACATGATTGAGAATGATCTGCCTCAAATGGGAAATTTCGAAATATTTATCCTCGTAATCGCTCGATAAAATTTCTACATAAAAGTATATAATGAAAACATCATGTATTTTACACTGCGATCAGCCAGTTCACGCTGTATGTGGACGTTGTTAATATCATTGCTTTTTGACAAGGTAAGCTCGTAGATGGAAGTGGGATCACAACCTCAGCCGTCGGGCGATGGTAACATACAGACGGGTCTCACATCGTACAGCGTTTGCCATAACGCCGGAAACCTGCGTATATGACTCCCCAAAACATGTCCATGACTCACTCTCATGACACAAGGAGTCATGATGACTCCTAAATTTTTATGCCTAGGGAAAACACTTATCATGACCAGCCAACCCTCGTCACCTTCACAGCATTCATGACATACTGGGGACCGATTCTGTCCTGGAATTACGACAATATGGAATTCATTATGCCTCTCGTGGAGTCATTTCAGGAACAAACATGGAGGAGAAAAGGCAATTGTCTTGACAATCGACTGTTTTAAGTAAATCTATCACCTTCGGCGAGGATGTCGGCGCCTCTTCGCATATCGATGTTTTCAGGATCACCGACTGAAAAGAGAAAACACGCTAATCAGAATTGTGGTACATTTGATGACCTAAAGCATGTACCATTTTACCCCGTCAACCAATTTTTCGAAACGACACTCATGATAGATGTTTAATTAACAAGTACTGAGATTGGTTGGTTTGCTGTTTAATGCCGCACTCAGCAATACTGCAGCTATTTGGCAGCGGTCTGTAAATAATCGAGTCTGGACCAGACAATCCAGTGATCAACATCTTGAGCATCGTTCTACGTAATTGGGATACGATGACATGTGTCAACCAAGTCAGTGAGCTTGACCACCCGATCCCGTTAGTTGCCTCTTACGACAAGCAACGGTTACTAAAAACCAATTCTAACCCCGAACTTCACGGGTAAACAAGTATTGAGAGAACACTGAAGACTGATAAAGACTTATCTGCCCATACCATTGAAAGAGGCCAATATATTTATCACCTTTTATACTTCTACATCTATCAACATGTATCACGCCAAATTAATTCTTCGGAAAACATGGAATTGACCAAACAATTTGTATGTCTCTGTATTTTGTGTCTGTCGCATATAGTTGCAGCATATTTGTGTTCATGTTCGTATTCCGTTCTATATGTCGATGTTGGTAAGCCTTGTGGGTAAAGTGTTGACACGTCAAGCCGAAGGCCGGTCCCGTTACCCATATGAGTATAATGTGTCAAGGCCATTGTCCCCGTCGTGATATTACTGGAATATATATTGCTAACAATGGCGTAAAATTATACTCAATCACTAAATATCTTCGGAATCGCCATAAACAGCATTTCAGACGTGAGTAAAATGCAACAGCAGGGTCAGCCTCAGTACTACAGCAACTACTTCTACATCCTCATCGACAAGGACAAGTTGACTATAAAGACTGCATGATCTGACGTGATCTCGTGATACTTGAGGAGTGGACCTCGGACACTTGATTATATCCAGCTGGGTGTATTCTGCCTGGTATTTACATGAGGACCTATGCCATTACGTGCGTATATTGGCGACTTGGTGAATGCTAAAAACTCAATTACCCTTTACTCTGCAAAGTGGCCCCGCGTCTATTTGAAAAGCCATCAGGGCAACGTGTCTAACGGAGGAGATGCTCTGATGGTTCCAACAGAAGCTTGCTGTAAAAGACTGAGTAATGCGGTGGTGACGCCTGAAGGTGTTTCCTTGCTGTAGATAACTGTAGTAGGGCATCGTGAGCCAGAAACACTTGTAGGTGTTACTACAGACCACAGCAGTATTGTGATGTTTGGGTAAGTGTGTCACATACACCTGTAGGTGCTACTACAGACCACAGCAGTATTGTGATGTTTGGGTAAGTGTGTCACATACACTTGTAGGTGTTACTACAGACCACAGCAGTATTGTGATGTTTGGGTAAGTGTGTCACATACACCTGTAGGTGTTACTACAGACCACAGTAGTATTTGTGATGTTTGGGTAAGTGTGTCACATACACTTGTAGGTGTTACTACAGACCACAGCAGTATTGTGATGTTTGGGTAAGTGTGTCACATACCCTTGTAGGTGCTACTACAGACCACAGCAGTATTGTGATGTTTGGGTAAGTGTGTCACATACACTTGTAGGTGCTACTACAGACCACAGCAGTATTGTGATGCTTGGGTAAGTGTGTCACATACACTTGTAGGTGCTATTACAGACCACAGCAGTATTGTGATGTTTGGGTAAGTGTGTCACATACACCTTGTAGGTGTTACTACAGACCACAGCAGTATTGTGATGCTTGGGTAAGTGTGTCACATACACTTGTAGGTGTTACTACAGACCACAGTAGTATTGTGATGTTTGGGTAAGTGTGTCACATACACTTGTAGGTGTTACTACAGACCACAGTAGTATTGTGATGCTTCGGTAAGTGTGTCACATACACTTGTAGGTGCTATCATAGACCACAGCAGTATTGTGATGCTTGGGTAAGTGTGTCACATACCCTTGTAGGTGTTACTACAGACCATAGCAGTATTGTGATGTTTGGGTAAGTGTGTCACATACACCTGTAGGTGTTACGTTAGATCTCTGCAATCTTGTGATGCTTGGGTTAACAGTTAACTGTAAACCTCAGCAATAATATAATGTGTGATTAAGTTTTTCAGATACACGCCAATATATAACACCAATAGCTACAATTCCCGACTAGAGAATAACATTCACTAATATCAACAATTCCTGACTGGAGTACAACACTTACCAATACCAACAATTCCTGACTGGAGTACAACACTTACGATACCAACAATTCCTGACTGGAGTACAACACTTACGATACCAACAATTCCTGATTCGAATATAACACACACCAATACCAACAATTCCTGACTGGAGTACAACACTTACCAATACCAACAATTCCTGACTGGAGTACAACACTTACGATACCAACAATTCCTGATTCGAATATAACACACACCAATACCAACAATTCCTGACTGGAGTACAACACTTAATTGTATTGAACACTATCCTCAATATAACACCATACACTCAGTAATTGTATTGAACACTATCGTCAATATAACGATATATACTCAGTAATTGTATTGGACACTATCTTCAATATAACACCGTACACTCAGTAACTGTATTGAACACTATCGTCAATATAACGATATATACTCAGTAATTCTATTGGACACTATCGTCAATATAACGATATACAATCAGTAATTGTATTGAACACTATCGTCAATATAACGATATACAATCAGTAATTGTATTGAACACTATCGTCAGTAAAACGATATACACTCAGTAATTGTATTGAACGCTATCTTCAGTATAACGATATACAATCAGTAATTGTATTGAACACTATCGTCAATATAACGATATACACTCAGTAATTGTATTGAACGCTATCTTCAGTATAACACAAAATATACTCAGTAATTGTATTGGATTCGATAGTAACGTCAATATGGCACCACACGCTCGGTAACGATACAGCTGAACTATATCAATATAAGCATGATGTTTGTATACGTGGAACATGTCATGTTTATGGAAATATACCGACATGTCTCTTTGTTAAAACTGCCTGGCACTGAAAGCCCGAAATACTCACATATGACTATGTGGCATACAACAATACTAACTCTATTGGCCATGGACTGCAAGACTGCTTTTGAACGGAAAGAATCACGTGTAAAAAATGGAACAGCACGAGAATGTTCAAACAAACAAACAAAAGAAATCGATGTCGGCAGTGTTTGCAAAATCTGTTGCAATGGATTGGGGAGATATTCGTCCAATGTACAGTACGCGTGACATTTACTATTCTTATTACATCGAAAACGCATTGTTTGTATACAACAAGTTGAGCCAATAAACCATGGTATTATGGAACAGATTGCATATGAAGCGCGTGTCGCGTAGACCTGCCCCACAATGAGATCGCATCGCTACGACAGTCGTAAGTCTATACTAAAGTTATTATCACCATATGATGGCTCTAATCAGCACAGTAATGGGTGCCGTTATACAAAGCGATCTCAGCGCTGAGATCATTGTAACTAGTGTACTTTAACATAGGCTTACGGTCATACCACAAAGTGATCTTAGAGCTATGGTGATCGTAACTCCCTTATTTTAACATAGGCTTACTCTCATACCACAAAGTGATCTTAGAGCTAAGATGATCGTAACTCCCATATTTTAACATAGGCTTACTCTCATCCCACAAAGTGATCTTAGAGCTATGGTGATCGTAACTCCCATATTTTAACATAGGCTTACTCTCATCCCACAAAGCGATCTTAGAGCTAAGATGATCGTAACTCCCATACTTTAACAGAGGCTTACTCTCATCCCACAAAGCGATCTTAGAGCTAAGGTGATCGTAACTCCCTTACTTTAACATAGGCTTACTCTCATCCCACAAAGCGATCTAAGAGCTAAGGTGATCGTAACTCCCTTATTTTAACATAGGCATACTGTCATACCACAAAGCGGTCTTAGAGCTAAGATGATCGTAACTCCCTTTTATTTTAACATAGGCATACTGTCATACCACAAAGCGATCTTAGAGCTAAGATGATCGTAACTCCCTTATTTTAATATATAGGCATACTGTCATACCACAAAGCGATCTTAGAGCTAAGATGGTCGTAACTCCCTTTATTTTAACATAGGCATACCATACCAATAAAGCGATCTTATTTTAACTATATAGGCATACTGTCATACCACAAAGCGATCTCAGAGCTAAGATGGTCGTAACTCCCTTATTTTAATATAGGCATACTGTCAAACCACAAAACGATCCTAGAGCTAAGATGATCGCAACTCCCTTATTTTAATATAGGCTTACTCTCATCTCACAAAGCGATCTAAGAGCTAAGATGATCGTAACTCCCTTATTTTAACATAGGCATACTGTCATACCACAAAGCGATCTTAGAGCTAAGATGATCGTAACTCCCTTATTTTAAATATAGGCATACTGTCATACCACAAAGCGATCTTAGAGCTAAGATGGTCGTAACTCCCTTATTTACTGTCATACCACAGGCGATCTTAGAGCTGTGGTCGTAACTCCCTATTTTAAATTAGGCATACTGTCATAAGCGATCTTAGAGCTAACTCCCTTTATTTTAACATGATCTGTAACTCCCAGAGCTATGGTGATCGTAACTCCCATATTTTAACATAGGCTTACTCTCATCCCACAAAGCGATCTTAGAGCTAACGTGATCGTAACTCCCATTCTTTAACATAGGCTTACTCTCATCCCACAAAGCGATCTTAGAGCTAAGATGATCGTAACTCCCTTATTTTAACATAGGCTTACTCTCATCCCACAAAGCGATCTTAGAGCTAAGATGATCGTAACTCCCTTATTTTAATATAGGCATACTGTTATACCACAAAGCGATCTTAGAGCTAAGATGGTCGTAACTCCCTTAATTTTTTATAGGCATACTGTCAAACCACAAAGCGATCCTAGAGCTAAGATGATCGTAAC